GCGGAAAAACATTCAGGTTGTTAGTTGGTTGTTGCCACGTCGAACCTTCCGAATTACTGTTTATGTTGGTAGTTTCCGTTTTAAATTATAAACGAATTGTAGATTTGGCAAATCCAAACGGCAACATTTTGAACAATTATTGAAATAAAAAGTGATATTTAGGTGTATTTTTGTTTCCTATCTAAACAAATTAAGATAAATGAAGATTTTGCTAATTTTCTTGAAAACGAATGGACCGATTTTGAAAAATCAAACGCCAAAATGAAACAAGCTGTTACTCGATACCCCTTGTCATTTGAAATTTTCAAGGATATGACCCTGTGGGCAGAGGGTGAAAGAGGATGAAGTAGTGTTTGGTTAAAAAGTTATGCCCCTTGACAAATCGTTTGACGTGTCTCGGCGTTTTTTCTTTTAATCAGTGGCTTTCGATAAATCCGTGGTGGGAAGTTTAGAAATGAACACCCTGTATAGTGGGAACAGAGGCACAATGATAAAGTTTCTTTACAGTGACAAATAAATGTTTTGGCTGCACAGATATTTGGGCGTAAACTATGGTAAAGCTAAGAGTGGTTGCCACATGATTGGCCCCGAGGCTTCTAAAAACTGAGAAGTCCCACTTTCGACATTATTCAACCTGATCTGGATGTTGTCTGTTTCAATTCGGGCCAGAGTTTGTACACTCGGACCGGATGTTAGGGCTCGCAGTGTTACTGATTTCCTCTTCCGAATATCTACAGAGATCACCAGCAATCCCTCTAGTTGGTTGAAATCGACCAGAGAATCCAAGTTGGGCTATATTTCGGTTGAGATGGTCACAAACGCCCTTCAAAAACCATCTTATGACTGCATCGTTAGTAGCATAGTCTAGCAGTAAGACTGACTTATAGCAAGTCAAACAATTATACCTCAATCTCATAATTATCAAACTGTACGGTGAGAAATTTCAAGGTATTGGTTACTCGTATCAAGGTAGATAAACAGACATACATTTCTTCTCGACAAAGATCTTACAATAATCTAGGCCCACAATCATATATTATGAAGACTGAAGAAAACTCCCAGTAGTTCCAGATGATTGGCATGCGGGATCTTCTTCTCGGATGACCAAAAATCATCACTTTCATTCTGACCAGCGAATATTCCAGCCCGACAAATTATACAACTGAAAATGTGAACAGATAGTGGCATAGTAGCGTTAAAATTTTCTTGAGAATGTTACAGGGCAAGAAATTTCACTCGTCAGTGTTTACTCAGCTGTAACGAAATGCAAGACAAGCTGACACCAAGTTCTCACAGCATACCGCAAAGTCTCTCTTACTAAGTTTAGTAATGTCTGCCTCTTCCGCTCAAGTAAGGGTAATTCCTTTGTGTCACAATTGCATACTGGGGCTAAAAGTGCCCAATTTTGACTGGAGATCAAGCAGCATTTTTTTGTAATTGATTAAAAAAAGGGGTGTTAACTGTTACCCGGACATTCTCTATCAGTATAACCCAACAGAAGGAAATGCAGACAGAAATGTGTATTTTTTCTTAAGGTATGTTAGAAAGGGTTTTATTAACTTTGTGAATACATGAGGGGCACAATTTACCCTAAACGGCACAGCAATGTATTGGAAGGGCTTTATCTTGGATATGAACCTGAAATATATTCTATGACTCTCCCTGATGGGTACCAAAATCTCAGTTCAATAACCTCCCTATAAACATATTGTGTGCCTCGAGGTTATTAATCAGACGTGTTGACTCATCAGACTTGGGGGCAAGAGAAAACGTTGGATAGGTGCTGATTTTTAGTTAGCCCAACCTTTTTACTGATAGCACCGCAGCTGAGCAATTGAGAGACTGTTGCTTCGAAGGTCGATAGTTCATAGATGGACTAATAAGGTACAGCAGGGGTTGAGTGCCGAACTGGTCGTCATATGAATGGCAACTGAACTCAGGACTTTAGCGCCCCTTCTAAAGGTCTGCCATTGATGATGAATACGCTTAAGTCTCCCTGCTGATCTACGTACCTCATTTGCAATAATCGATAATGGCTGATTTATAATTAGAATTGACTTGTTTGTTAAGACTTATTCCGAAGAGCAAATGATCAATGAAAGCATCTGTTAGAGTACTTCTGAGCTCTTTATTTAAGTGTAAATATCTACCAGTATGTGCCCACCCCAATCTTTGATCCTGCAGGAGAGAGTATTGCCTCTTGCAGTTAATGAACAACTGACAGGTTGCTGTACAGAGACCAAGCTTGCATCCCTGCGTGCGACAATTCCTATTATTGAGGCCGCTACCTCAGGGTTCACTTTAGGTGGCTAGAATATAATATACTCATCTACCGTCATCAACGAGGCCTGCGCTCGAAATGTCAGCCTGCGTGAACACTACACTAAGGTCTCCGCATTATCGTGGTGATGCGTAATCTATTGTAACAGAGTATATGAGCTTTATGACATCACAATCCAGAGCGCCCTGTTGTTAGATTGCCACCTATGCAAAATGTAACACTAATCGGGCATAATGGTACTTAATCTCCGTTCTCACTGAACATTAGTACTTTGGTGGTTTTCTAGCCTGAAATGTTCATACGTACAGTCCTGTTCCATAGCTATCACCAAGCATATGGAATTTGCTATCACAAGCAAAATGTAACGCTGGCCTCACATAAGGTACCTCATCTCTATCTGGTAGTAAGTTAAAAATAGCTTGGCGGTTTCCTAACCTGTCATGTTCATACTTCCAGTTTATCACAAACCAGATGAAATTTGATGAGTTTAGTGTTGATAATATGTGAAAGTACAAATGTCAAACATGTCTAGCTCATGTAGCCGTGCTATTCTTAAACGATACAGTAAAAGTATTGAAAGTCTAGAAGCGAAAAAAATAAATGCTTGTAGTGTCTCTTAAAGTATTCATATGTGGCAACGATCATGTCTGCACTGGCATGACGTGATTACAATTACCCACCTAATACGAACAGTTAGAATGATTAAACATTTTACATGTCAATAGATAACGCAAGCTTCTCCCGCGTCCTAGTTTCTAATGCGAAACAAGTGTGTCGATTCTCACACTGTAGTGGTGTAGCGTTGCCGTCCTGAATAAGTAACTAGCACCTACTGATACCCATAGAAATTTAATGAACAGTAAACAACCATCCACCCAGTATCGCTTTGCAATTGAAATAAAAACCTTAAACGATAAAATGAAGGGTGTAACAAGCGAAGACCTTTTGGATATGGAAAATGTCTTCAATGGAAAGTACGCGAATGAAATTTCAAGAAATGTGGTAGGGGGATCACTGATATTTTTCATTGCATTCTATAGGTGGTTTCCAAGACATGGGGTGAGCATTCAAAATGGTTTGGACTAGTTAAAATTGTGCCTTGGACGAAAAAGCTTTGCAGACTTAACATAGATCATCGATCCGGTAACGGCTAACGGCGCTACGGATAAAAAGAAACAAACATTTTCGAACTTCGTTTTTTAATATGTCAAGGACTCCCTGCTTAATTTCAGAAATTTTTGGAGGCAGGGGGTTGTAAATGTTGCATCTTTGGTATCAGTGGCGATACTCTATACTATTAAAAATGATGATTTCCGTAATATGACACAGTTGTTAGTCATCATTGGTCACATATATTTTCCATACATTTGTTATACACAGAAATATGATAATAATAATGGTTATAATAATAATTAAAGGCTTTTTTTTGTAATAACATTACAGGAGGTAAGATCCAGATACTGTATCTATTCTACTACCTAACCCCCTTAACAATACGCATGCATAAAAACTGAAAATTTGTTAAAAATTAATACCTGTATACAATAACGACAACAATAAAGCATAATTAATGTAAAGGTACACATGAATAGAGTTTTCAATTCCGATTTTAAAAATATAGAATATGACATATTTTGACATTGCTAAGCCTTAGTCATAGAAATTATCAGATTTCATTTGTTTCGCATACCAGACCAGACCTCAAATTGAATATAGCAACAGAGTTTGGAAGACTGAAAAGAGAAATAAATCGAGCTGTGAACAATGTACAGAAAAGAGTCAGTTTTTGACTACCAAAATAACAGGCATTTTGAACATCTGCTATGATTTATCTCTGCTTATTTATAATTATTATTGTATTATTACTATACCATTTAACTTTCTTATAATTTTCATTCAACTGCAAATTCATGGCCAACTCAGGAATTCAGGGCTGAAAAGTCCATTCAAATGTACAAAATTCCAATATAGCGTCCATAGGAAAAAACAAAGTTGGTGAAGTCGAAAGAAAAAATGTCAAATTGAAAATTTTACTACGCCATGTCGTAGATGGCAACATGCAATTTATTTTGAAATCCCATCTCAAATAAAACCAGGAAAAAATTGATTTTGAGATGAATATACTCGTAGTATGCGTGACAACCCTAAGAAACTCTGCTAAACTAAAGTTTGACAAAATGACTTTAAAAATTTCAAAGAAACCCTGTTTTTTATGAATAACTGAGGTTTGGGAATGTCAATGTATGACGTATTATACATTTTTAGTATCAGAATTAAAATTGCTATTCAGATGTGCAAAAATACATAAGAAAAAATAAAGTTGATGCTGGAGGACAAGAGACGAAACGTCTTATAGAAATTCTAATTATGTTGTCCCGTAAAGGAGAAAAACTGATAGTGCCAATGTGCAAGTTATTTTGGAATCCCCCTAAAAATAAAGTCAGGAAAACATCAAAGCGATTTTAGGAAGATTCTGTATTTGCCGTCTCTCTCCGGAAGTACTTTGAATTTCGAAACCTTCTAAGCGGCATTTTTCTGATTACCTAAATACCCAACTTTCTCCTATTTAAGTAAATTCGGATATCTTACAGTTTCCAAGACCCTAATGGTGAGTGTCGAGTTTGGAACACTCTGTATGTTATGTGCCATCCCCAAACATTGTATCTCATTTGCAAAAGTTTTCGCAATTACAACACCTCCTCGACAATTGGAGTGGTAAGTAAAACATGGAAATCTGTTCCAAGAACGTTGACTCTTGCTTTGGTCGAACACAATCCAATTGGTAAAATGAAGTGCGTGGAAGTATGCAGTCAGTCAACTTGTCGTCAGTCTGTTTTGATCGGAGAAAGTGGAGCAAGAGGGCAATAACAGACCATGGCACTTTTATATTTTATATTCATTCCTACGAAACAGGATAATTTTTTAAATCATTTACGTAAACATATTACCAAAATGACGAAGTAACATTTTAAAATGTTTTTACAAACGAAGCCATTGCAATAGCCAGCAATATTCCAGCAAATCTAGCCAGATCAGCAGAGGAGTAACTGTGAGGGGCATCGTCTTTACTAAAATCCCTCCCAAATATCCCAAACGTTAAAATCCTGCTTTGAGGTTTCACCAGCGCATGTGTTCTTTCCACCATATTTACTTTCACTTCTTTCTTCCAAGAAGTCTTCAATGGGGAAATAGCTCGCAATGAGGACAGTACCGAACTTGGATATTGAATCTTATGTACGACGTTAGTAAAACTGCCAACGACCTTTATAGAGTTGAAGGTTATCGGCCAAGTCACATTTGAATATTTTGGGAACCTGAAAAAGAGCATATAATTAATGGTAGATATAATAAATAAATTCTGACCAAAATGCGCTTAGCCTAGAATTTTAATCGGGGATTCGTTGGTTTTGAGAAATCAATGCCAACTGAGGTTGGTTTGTTTGTAGTGTAAACCACTGGCGTATCCAGAAAAAAGAGGGCGGCTCGAAAACGGATCCAGCCTTTGAGTGAGGGGGTAGGGTCATGGCAGCTGCTGCGTCAGTGCTTCTGAGAGCGAATGGCCTTGTGACCATGATTTGGAGAATATCAGATTCCAGATGGTGGTTAAACGCCGGAATGCTGCTTGATTGAATTTCCCATTGCACGAAAAGTATAGACTGAAATCGGGTTATCTTCTCGCGTTTTTTAGTTATTTCAATGGAGTGTTTTTGATTCTTCGTTTCACGAGCTATTTGAACTGATGAATTGATTGATGGATTGAGCAACCTTAAAATGTATGGACTTTTTCGTAAGTTTTTAGTATTCTGTCGACATGTCTTCCATGTATTTTTTATTTTCCCTATCAAATGTTTTCTTCATTTTGATTAGTTGAAGAGATAGGGGAGAACAATCAGTTGTTCAGACCTTAGGGACAACTTGGACAAACGTGAAAATAATACTTCATAGGTCCGGTGTGGTCCAAGAATAATTTTAGGAGGAGAAAAGAAACCACAATTCAAAAAGTCACTTTTATTTCATTATTCATGTAGCTTACAGTGCTTTTTCATGTATATGATGCCTTATTTTGAAGCCCCTGGTGCTTTGTTACCCTAAAATAAAAGGTTCACTATCTTTTAAAGTAGCGGACTGGCTAACAGTTAATGGCGGTCATTTCTTCTCACATTATATCTCTTAGAACTCAACAGCTAAGCACTAAAACTTTGTAGCACGTTATATCAAATTTCTTATATCTACTTTTTTATATCTATCTGAAGATGTAGTAAAATATGGGAATTTTCGTTTGAAAAAAATCGACGGATTCTTCAATGGAATATTACTAGTGGAGCGTACCGTAGACTTAAACCTCGCAACCTGGTTCCATTTCCTGGATTAATTTTGGCTGCTTTTGATTTTTTTACCTTTTTGAAAAATTCTCTTATTATGAATAGGGTTATTTAGGTTAGTAATGTACCATATGATAGAATTCATCAAACTGAACAAGAAAACTGATATGTATTCATGTATTTTACGGCTTCCTTCTTGTTCATTTCTTGTAAAACTAGTGTTTTGCATTTTTCTTAAATTAGTTGAGTAATTTAGATGGTATTCTGATTGGTTGATGGGTTACAATTCAATGCACAAAAACGCTTAACTTTGACAGCGTGTCAGTTCGCTGTTTGGAAAGAGGATATAAAAAATTCTAGGGTTATAAAGTACTTGTAAAGACATTCAGAATGTAGTATCACATGAACCACTGTTCTGTTCTTTTTTGACAGAGAAAAGCTTTTATAGCCACTCTCAGGCAGAAAAACGAATGGCATACTCACTAAAACCCCCCAGTCTTGCGCCAGGCATCACTACTTTTCGCTGGCTTCTCAGTATTAGCTGTCTATATTTCTTTTTTCTCAAGGCCTATATATGGGAGCTCCGCACAGAATAATTGAGATTGCCACCCCTGCCAAAATCCTGCGCCTCTCACTGCTGGGGAATACTTCAGATGGGATTAGCCGTATCAGAGATACAATGACCTTAGTTACCTTGTCAGTGGTGCACCTTATGTGTTCAGTCATTTCCAGATCTGTGTCAAGCCACACACCTAGATACATAATTGCATTTTGGCTACGAATCTCTGATTTATGAACCTTAACAGCTAATGAAGTTAGCTTCTGCCTGCCAGAAATAATAACTACTTCTGTCTTCACAGGAGCTAATTTCTAGCCGTTTTCTTCCATCCATATGGTAATTCTCGAGAATCTGTATGCCAAGGGCCCATCTGTCTATCTCTCTCCTTGTTAGTCACTAACATCGCAAGGTCGGCAGCATACCCTATCAAGCGAAATAGTGACAGCATAATGTAACCGAAGAACCTTATGCAGAACACGTTCTAAAGCAATGGCCCTAGGACTGAGCTCTGCGGCACTCCCATCGTTTTTTGCCCTACCATAAGTGCTCTCTCGCCAAAGTAACTCTTTATTATGGTAATTCTCGAGAATCTGTATGCCAAGGGCCCATCTGTCTATCTCTCTCCTTGTTAGTCACTATCATCGCAAGGTGGGCAGCATACCCTATCAAGCGAAATAGTGACAGCATAATGTAACCGAAGAACCTTATGCAGAACACGTTCCAAAGCAATGGCCCTAGGACTGAGCTCTGCGGCACTCCCATCGTTTTTTGCCCTACCATAAGTGCTCTCTCGCCAAAGTAACTCTTTATTCTGCTAAATATATAGCTGGGGGTGACTAGCTTTTCGAGAGATTCGACAATTTTCTATCATTTCGCCATGTTAAAGGCATTCTTAACGTCAAACGCAACCACAACGCAAAACTTCTTTCTGCTATAGGTACTTTTGCTAGCTGTGCCACTGCACTAAGTACATCTATGGCAGAGTTTTCATTTCTGAAACCATATTGTGAAGGAGATAGCCCGGTCTTTTCCTCGACGTATTTCCTAAGACTACTTCCTATCAGTCATTCTAGAAACTTTCCAAGTGAACTCGGCAAACAATTTCCTATCGGTGGCTTTCGGAGGTTTCGGGATGAGTACCAATCCAGCCACCTTGCACCCCTTCGGAAAGACTCAAGCATTCATTCATCACAGACAGCACGATCTCATTTGCTATTTGATCCAGTCCTGGTGCCATACCTGTTTTCCACTGCGTTGTAGCTTCTTCCAGCTCACTCGTGGTGAAGTCTGGTAAGTTCAGAGTCTCCTCAAGATTCCATTGGGTGGGTGAGCACTTCGGAAATTGGTTCAGTATCCAGTATCCCTGTCTGTGAGTTTTAGCTTTTCCATAGTTATTTTGTATGCTTGATCCCAAACGTCTTTTTCTAAGTCATTCAATAAGTCTTTCCACATTCTCTGTTTAGAGTTCATTGTGAGCTTTCTAGTTCTTTTTCGGCATATTGATGTTGTTTTTTGTACTCAAGCATCTGAACGTTATTCCTTGTCCCATTTGCTATATGGTAGTTTAACTGTTTTCTCTTCTTTTATTTTTTGTGCTATTTCATTTTTTCATCAATACTTTGCGTCCCGCACTTTCCATTTTTGTAAACCACACCGAAGGTGTTGTCACATGCTGTTATGACTAGATCTTCCAGCAGTTGAACTTTGTCTTTGTAATCATCTAGTTTTGTGTACAACTCCGTTTTTTGTAGAAGTAGTGGTGGGGAGGGGGTGAAGGGCGAATCCTGGCTACTAGGCGTCCAATGACCCTTTTTGCCGACCCAGTAGTACCAACACTACAGTACTACGAGTCATCTATTGGCAGCTGCAGCTGTAAGATGCATCTATCGTTAATATTACATCCACGTACGTGATAGAGACAACACCCAACACAAAATCCATGGCTCGGAATCAAATATCCAAGGCGGAAATTCCCCGTGAGCCCCGGATTCTTACCTAAACGCGCTTACCACCAGGCTACCGAGGCTCCTTACCGTTCTGTTTAAAAATGTTACAATATGGGGTACTACCGCCATTTTGAAATGTTCATCTGCCGCTCTCATCTGCATTAATTTTATTACTCAGAATTTAAGCATGCTAACTCTAAACCTTTATTTTTAATCTTACACTACTACATGGATATACGGCAATAATCGCCGATGCTCTTGAGAAAACAAAAACAACGAATGTAACACGATCGTCGATGAGCTAGCTGACACGACATATTTATAAAAACTCTTACCTTTGCCCGCAAGAAGTGGAACTGTAGTTAAGGCAGGCTATTATTCCACAACTTTCAACGCCTACATCTCTCACTCCAGGAAATTTTCTAACACCATTGAACACGGCTATGTGATACGTGTAGGTGTTCTTTCCAAGATTCATCAGTTCACTGTTCACGGTGAAGTTTATTGTGAACTTACAACAGGCCGATTCACCATGGCATATTTCTTCTATTACGGTCGTTTTGTTCAGATTTAGAGGAACTGACGTATGTTCTGAAAAAATTTAAAATATACCAATACTATTTTTTAAAAAAGCAAGCACACTCGCTTGCATTATTATATTAAATCAGAAAATGAACAGATTTTCGAGGGTAGTATAGGTTCGATTTCCGCGATGCAAAAAATAAATTTTCCAAGCTTAGGTGATGTTACGGTTGGCTCTGCATGCACATGAAACTTCTTTGATTCAAAGATATTGATTGTGGAGTAAGCGTAGCGTAACTGCAATCTTGAATCCAAACAAGTGATGTTTCTGTGAATTCCGCTATAAAGTGGTGAAGGGTATTCAAAAGTTTCTGTAAAAACACCCTGTATCGTATGGCAGAACCGATTTTAACAAACTTGGGCTAGCTGAAAAGAGCTATTTTGGGCTACAAATGCTATATTATTTGAAGTTTTGTTAGGTTCACATGTGGCCGCTAGAGGGTTTTTTCGAGATTCCGACTGAAATAGTTGATTTTCTCAGAAAAATTAAATGCATTGGTATGATTTGTTTTATGGAAAAGTAGCAGGGATGTCTAAATAAGCTCGCGAACACCGCGTCTCGATATCTTGTTCATAACCTTAAATTTAGGCCTAAGAAAGTTTTATGTGTAAATCTCTTATATTTTTATTTTTCCCTAACTAATTTTTCCGGAAAGTCGCTACATTGCGCTCCATGTCATGAGGATGAGTGTCAGATGATAATTTCCCACTTACACTATTTACCTAAATGCATGATGATGTCTAAATGATGCATTTATCCGTTGTACTGACGTTAATTTAATTCCTAGCTAACTTGAAATATAATTATGATCATCAGAAGCTATATAGTTTATTCTGCCTGTATACTGAATCTTCTCTAATTGCTTTATGCAAAACAAACCATAGGCATCGACATTGGTAGGAAGTAGTTGTGAGATACGAACACGTATGAAGTACGCCTCCGTCACTAGACTAGACAAATGGTATGGAGTTATGGGTTATTGGTAGGTACTCAAAATTGTCCACAAAATCGCGCTAAATATGCAAAATTTAGGATCTGACCGGTCATGACTATTTTTTTCAACTTTTCGTCTTGAACTATCGTGCAAAACAGTATATGATAATGTTAGTTTTGTAAGATTAAGAAATATGACACGGAAATTATTGCATAGAAGGTGGTGATCCAAAACACAATCAATTACAAATCAAACGCTGCTTAACAATCGACATAATTTTAAGGGTTATTACTCACCATATACTGTAGGATCAATATTCAATTTGAAATCATCCATTTCTGCAGCTAAAGAATCAATGACTTCGTCCGGATCAATATTATTCACAATCACTCCATCTGAGCTAGGTGATCGAGGTACTTTTTGTAACAGCATCTTAGCATTGCCAGAGCTTGGGATTATCATTTGGACAAGGGCACCTTTTTCGCCTGACAGAATTGGTTAGAGGAAAATGTTATATGAAAGCATAAATACTACCTTTCTATAACCACCTTCCAAACTTAAGATAAGATGGCGCTTACGTCTTCAATGCGGTATTCTAAGCTTCTAAAAGCGAAAAAATCATACACCTGGAATCATACTGAAACTTGGGAAAATCTTTCATCGGCCTCTAGAAATACCTATGATTCAAAAACCAATACCTCTGAGGCTGCCAAGTTATCAAATTGGAGATGAAAGCTTACTTAGTAACACTTTTTTAGGCTTAGTAGATCTTAAATAATTATCCTTGCTTCGGAGGCTAACAAGAAGCGGACTTTCGATTTTCGCAGACTGTACATAATAACTGGCGTATTGATTGATCAGTTCGGTCTTTTTAGCCAAGTAGCTGGTGGTTTCAGTCTTTTAGAAAAATAGGTTGCATTTTCTAATAATCTGGGCTCATAGACAGTGGGCTGGTTTATTCAACTTTATAGGAAAAAGGGGGCGTTCACCTACAAAGTCTAAGTAGCGCTTCTTAGCTAAGTGACCAGTTTCTTTGCTAAGAAGCCAATTCTCTAAGAAGCTATGACATACTCAAGCCTTTACACATAAATTGGCCTAGCCAGTTCCACAATTTCCCATAATTGTTGGAGATGAATTTACTATGTTACTAATATTTTTACATCTTAACAGAAAAGTCATAGGGTGTGACAAATTTTTGGCGTTATTGAATTTTCCACCGTTATGGAATTCGCTAAAAGTTTTTTCTCATCAGAATCTAAAATGTATTGGAATTTTGTGGTAAGTAATGTCGCAAATCAAATCAAGAAAATTTCTTTTTTCAATAATCGTAATGAAAAAGGGGGCTCAAATCTGCAAAGTTCATTGCATTAGGTTTCGCAATCTCTACCAAATTCAACCAACATTTGCAGGTTTAACCGTTTCCGAGATCAAATTGTTATGCGATCCTTTTCTAAGACTCTAAACTCGTATTATCTTAGCTTCGGCCTTTAAAGTATTATGAGTATGAGATTCCAACAAAGCATATTTTCATATATCCAAAACATTTTTTTCAAGGTTTAGAAATGTTTATTAATCGTTATGTGATTTGAGGTCTTACCCAAGAAGATGCCAGAGCCACCAGTTCCGGTATTATAGCTATTGCCTCCTGCGCTCAGTAATGTCACATTGTTTTCTTGTGCCCACATCTGTTGAGTTGATAGAGCTATAGAAAAAAATCGTTCGGATTAACAATGTTGAGCTAGCCCTCGCTGCTCCCACTAATGTCTTTTAGTGAGAGTTATGTATCATTATCGCCGGGACGAAAACAACATCGGCCTGATAGTGGAGCATATGTGAGGACGACTGAGGCCTGGCGAAGTTGTAAATATTTCACTTTGATCATTTGTCAGATCCAAAGGGAATTGTTACTTTGAAATTTATATTGTGTCTAGCCTCAAACTGACTTAATGTCGGTTATTTTCATTAATATCCACAATAATAATAATAATAATAATAATGATAATAATAATAATAATAATGATAATAATAATAATAATGATAATAATAATAAATTGCCTTTATTTCTCATGTAAGTACAGAAAAAAGGACATAATTCTGATGCAGTGAGCAAGCGGTAAGTTTCGCTTGATTAGCAACCATTAGTTGTCAATCCGCGCTCTTCCACCCGGACAGAAAAAAGTAATATTAGTAATAATAGCAATAATCGAAAATTATAATAGTAAGAGAAAAGTTGACACAGATACATATAAACATATGTTATAGATCTACCTATTATATTTTACATAGATGACATATAAATGTTGCAAGCAGCTTAGTAAAACCTATAATAAAAGACGAGTTGATGTTTGAATGGAATAGTTAAGAGTTATAGTTAATTTTTTATAAAGGTAAAATGTCATGGCCAAACGAAAAGACATACAGGAAAATAATTGGCAAATCTGCGTAAAATGTGAAATCTCAGAATTGATAGGCCTATAAGGCAGCGAGTTGTCAACTATACCACAAGAAAAAGACAATTTATCATTCGATTTGTTGAATGTAGATAGCGAGAGATGATGTTTAAACCTCCTGTTACCACTCTGCACTTCGGTACGCGTCTTAATCTCCTTGAAAAGATAAGATGGCGATTTAGTATTGAGTATCTTGTGGTATAGTATGGATCGATGAAGGTACCTTCTTTGTTGAGCCAACCTGAGTTCTTTAACTGAACAGATGTGGATTGCCGCCTTCTAATACCACTAACAAACGTGACACAAGAATTTTTAATACATTGAAGGCGCACCTTATCTTTCTGTAGTAATGACTGGCCGTAGACTTAGTCTGCATAGCTAAGGTGAGAAAGAACTAAAGACTCGCACAATATCATTTTTTGTTTGACTTGGTTAGTATGCTTCTGCTATTGTATAGCAGTACCAAAGATGAAACCGCCGTTTTGATTAGAAGACAGGTATGCTGTGAAAACCGTAGATCTGAACCCCCAAATTTTTCGCCGAGTTTGTAAAAGTTATATTGTCTTGTCCGAAATAAATGTCTACATTATTATAGTTCACGAATCTTTTTTCACCAAATAGTAGAGCCTTAGATTTAGTAGTGTTGACGGAGGGACAATATTTTTTTGTTAACTGATAAAGAGCCTGAAGGGTGTGTGTCTGTGTTGAATAAAGAACAGTTCTTATATGATTCAGCATAATAGTGATATGTGACGTGTTTAAAACTTTTATGCAGCTGAGAAGTGTATAGAGTCTACAAGAGTGGACCTAAAACAGATATCAGTGGTACACCTCGGAAAACGTTAGACAATTCGGTTGATTCACCAAAATATTTGACAACTTATGCCTAATCTTTGAGGTAATTTCTCAACAAATGAACGGCACTATTCAAAAACCCCAAGCAGTGTAGAACAGTAATCAGCAGATCAAGGTTTAGCTTATCAAGAGCCTTCGAGAAATCTAGTGAGATGCATCATCAATGTGTTTGCGGATATCATCCGTTTTTCTGAGCAAGGCCGTTTTGCAGCTGTGATCTGATCTGAACCATGATTGATTTTCTGGAAGAATGCAATTTTTAGTACCAAGGTCCCTCATTCTAGGATCCAAAATCATTTCGAAAACCTTTAGTGACCATTACGTGACAGTGGAATTTAAGCGACAGTTTAGCCGATTATGCAGCTACATAATACTACTGCAGAAATGTAAGCCCAGCCTTTGCAGTGACTATAAAAAATTAAAATCGGTACAATATTATCCTCTAACGTAGTCTATTGGCTCTTAACGAACTATCCAGCAATAGCTGTAACAGTAACTTTGAGTTCTTAATGAAACATATTTTACCCGTTTCTTTGAACTGACCAATAAGTTGGAGCACAGATGAGGACTTCAGAGACATTCTATCATGGCGTTAATTTAGTAAATTGTGTAAAATCTTACCTGTCAGATAAGGGAGATCAGAGAACCAATAAGTTGGATAAACGATGCTCTTCACGTGCAAATTCTTGCTCAGATTCAACGCAGGTGTTCCAAATAGTATGTCAAAGCAGGTAAATATACCGAATGTATCACCATTTTTAGTTTCGAAGGTAACTACTTCTGGAGACCGTAATATACTTAAAGTGTCTTCCCCAGCAAGGTTCCATTTCCGATATCTACAAAAAAATAAAAACTCTATTCGCCCTTAAGTTCTTCTATATCTGTTGATTTAAGAAAAATAATATAAAGCATAGCATGTATAAAATATCGCATCAATCAAAGCTCATGAAAAATCAAATTTGATGGTGTAATAATAACATAAAAATGTCCTTTTAAAACGTGCGAATCAAATTTTTGCATATTCAATGCTGTCTACAAATAAACTAAATAATTTAACGATAATTTTTATACTTAGTTCATTGAAAAAACGTGGTAAATTAAACAGTTGTTTTGGAAAATTTTCGTTAACCGTAATACGTTTCTTAATTGCTCGACGACAGCAACTAAACTAAGGTACATTTAAAACAATTAAAAAGTTTATTAAAAGCAGTTAAGTTGTTTACTTGAATCAGAGACTCGGTGGAACCCGACCCTTCATTCGTGAATGATCGGGAGTATGCGACAGACGCAGCACCGGTAACGTGCTTCGAACTCTCCAGTTTCATTTGTGATTTTCGCTAGGAGCTTCATATTCGAATGTTGCCGTTATTGGTGTATTAGCTGTGAAGTGGATGAGTTATGGTGATCAAGTGAAATACTCGAACATACGGTGCTTAGTGGCCAATGACCGTGGTTAGAATATTTTTTGCTCCAAATGAAACACTGTGTATAGAGGAGTCATTGCTGACGTGACGGCTTGGGAAGAGCTTTAAAATTTTATTTATGCAGCCAATGAAGGGCATTTATACGAAACGCGCTTGTCATAGGCTTGATGTGCTTTTATTGTGTATTATATAATGTATATATGGGAAATGGAGTCACCTGTTGGTGTCCTAGTTTGTTTAAAATGGTTTCGAATTTATTTATATATTGTTTTATTATTAAAAATAAAAGTAAAATTTTCATACACATTATCAAGTGGACTTATTAGGTTTCAGGTAATCCTTCCGCTACCTTTTGAATTCAAAACAAAGAGTTGCTTCTAGCGGTCATATAACTCGTCTGTCGATAAACAGACAAATACATGGTAAATCTTTATCCCATATAAAAGAAGTTCACAATCAATGAAATTAAGAAATATCGAATATTGTTAGAGTTATATAATTCGGTTCTTATTTTGATTCGAAAACATCAACTATCATTATAAAATTCTCAAAATCTTTCGGTATCAAAGATTTGTCAGAGCACAGCTATAGATCGACCAGCCAAAGATTGCTAGGGACGAAAGGGGGAAATGCGATGAAAAAACCTTACCATTAGACGATTTTATATGGAGTCATAGGCGGAGATCGGAGAGACTTGAATTATTAATTGAATTTATATTTTATTACAACTGGTAGTATTAATATTTTTTTGCGATTCATAATGACGTGATACCAAACATACATTATAAGAAATAAATATACACAAACACTGAATATTGAGAACAAAATAAATATATTTTTTAGGCAACAAGTAATATTCCTATGTACGCATTATGATTGAACAGCAAAACAAATTATGCATTCTTCTAAAATAGAATACAACAAGTCAAAAATATCTGACTGAATAGAAAAATATAGGAAAACAAAAAGTAATTTCTTGATGAAATAACCCATAAACAACACATAGAATTAGACTTTCTACTGAGATACTAAAAGCCACAAACCAATAGTATAATAAATGAATATCTAAAAATTCTAAAAGGTAGCCAATCTAGTATAGTTTCAATCCTGATTAGAGTCATGATCACTGTCTGAGGAACTGTCATTGCTATCACTTTCACCTCCTATGTTGATTATTATTTCTTCCTGTATTTCTTGAATGAGACTGTCTTTTTCCCAATATTCATCTTCAATTTTTATAACATGTCCAATAACCTTTTGCCAGTCACTGGCACTTACTGAAGCGATGGCCTTATTAGAAATTTCATCTAGTTTTTTTATAGTAAATTCGCCGCTTGTATTATGGCTTCTAATGAAAAATTTTACTTGTGCCCAAATCATCTCTATGGGATTAAACTGACACATATAGGGTGGCGTTCGAAGTGGGGTGTGTCCGAAACTTCTTATTAAATTATCTATCTTATAATTTTTCTCATCAGATGGTGGCCTATGTAGACAAGCTATTTCATAAAGCTCCATTTTTTTAGCATTAGGATCATGCTCTATACCTTTTTTGCTCAACCACGTGATGATGTCTCTTTTTAGAGAAGATCTAGTTGGAGGCTTGTCTTCCAAAGCTGAATGGTAAGGTGCATTATCCATTATTATAATACTATTAGGAGGAATGTTAGGAAATAGTTTTTCAGTAAGCCACTTCGTGAAATTTTCTTGGTTCATTTGACCGTGATAATCACCAGTGGCACAGCCAGCCTTGAAAATGAGACAGGCTCCAGGAACAAAACCATCTTGCGAACCCGCATGAACAATTATAAGTCGTCCTGGAAATGAATAAATAGCCTCATTTTAGTGTTATTTTAAGTTTGCCAACACCTTTTTGAATCACTATGTATAAAAAACATATTTTTGAGAAAAAAATACTTGCAAGGGATTATGTATTCAATTAGACAAATTAAATGAGCACTTATTAAGAATATTCCAAAATTGAGAAAAATGTATAATAAGCAAAATCGAGGTGAAAGAAACTTTATTACCTGTAGAACTTATATTGCTCAGGACACCCATAATTTCTTCGCTTTGCCAGCATTTCTTGAAAGTGAGGTCATTATCAACCCAAGTTTCGTCCAAATAAATAATATGCCTTCCTTCTTCCCGGAACTTTTTAATAGACCTAAGATACTTGTATCGCCAATGTAAAATACTGGGTCTTTCCATTAGTAATTTCCTTTTGTTGTGGCATTTACGCCAGTAAAATCCTTTTGCTTTTAAAAGCAGCCTCAACGATTCTTTACCAAATGGAAATTCCATTTCTTCCTTCAGTTTGATTAGAAGTTTACTACAAGTAGGTACCACTTTAAAATCACAGTAAAATTTTTCTATCATTCTCCGAATAATGGAAAAATCGACTCCATCAATTTTTTGGATCACAGAAGGGCGTGATCTCTTTTTTCCGGGAGAAGCTAAAGGCTGTGTGGAGGTTGCATTTTGCCTGTCTTTATCTTCTTTTCTAATTTTACTTATAGTTCGTTCACTAACACCCGTATAATATGCCGCCCTTGCATTTCTAGCTACCAGTGGATAAACGAAAGTATTGTTAGCCGCTTCTGCATCGCAAGCACGTATCACGTTTGCTATTATTTCCCTTGCCTGGCTGTGAATAACTTTCCCATGCTTGAATTCCATTATCACCACTAAACAGTAAATTATATTTTCAAAGTATTTGCCAACTGCCTACGCCTATGGGAGTAGGTTTATAAATGACCGTGCCATCGGCACGTTATTCTAGTTTCAGATAAGATAAGAGTTTTGGACCAATCAGCGACCGGATGTTTACCTGCGGCCTGGGTTTTCCAGCTACATTGCCAAATTCAGCGGAACAATTCTATATCTTAAATATGTTAATATGTATGGACCGCATTTTATGTAGAACATCTGACAACTTCGCAATTTTTTGTCCGCATTCTTTCGGCTTGCAATCTTTCGCTGGTCCAACAGTATAATTATTATACATCATTCAGTAGAATTGATTTTTTTTAATTTCAAATATTGTCCAAATATTCTTTTAAATCTGAATAAAACATTTCATTAAAACTAGACATTTATTTACTCCATCATATAAGAATAATAATAACATAGAATTAGCAAATAAATGTTGCAATACACACAAGAACAATGCCTGTACATGGGTCACTTGTATGTTGGAATGAGTTCCAAAATTAAAACAAAAAATTTAAAAGAAGCCTAAAGAAAAACTTATATCGAAGAGGTGTATATGCAAAGGATAACAATTTTTAAGGAATATTTCTTATTAGAATTATGTGTATTTCAAAATTGACTCAAAAAGTCTTTGGGTACGTGTTCATATAATGTTTGAGCCCAATAGAGAAAAGATCGGTTTCTTTGGTCTTATGAGGTTTAGGAACAGTTTTTGCTCGTAATTTTTATCGAGTACCATGGCATTGTGCGATTTTATCGTGCTAACTGACAACTTTGTGATAATGGCTGATAGTAGCAATGTAAAAAATAAAGTTGCTTGATATCAAATATTTTTGTTTCGTATAAATCATTTTTTCATTATGATTTTGGCATTTAACACATAGTTCTTTAAACAGTTCTCTGTAAAACTTCTATGTCATTTAATTACGCTGGACATGCTGTACCCCGCGCTAATATACCATACACTAAGTGCGGCTCAATTAAGGCATGATATAAGTGTGAGAAATTCAACTTAATAGTGGATCAGATGGCTTATTTGAATAGCTGTACCTTACAGTTTCTGGTAGTCACAATCTCTGTATTAGTAGTAACCAAGAGTGCTGGTGAAAATTTAACGTCACGCTTACCTTGCTACCACCTGTCCATTTTGATCAAAAACGACATCTGTATTGTGAACCACAGACTGCAGTTTTTCGTTGTGCCTTGTGCAATGCTCGTCAGGAGGAGGGTTTTTGCAATTGACCAGCTCAAGAACGTTGACAACCACAGTGACCTTCTTGTTGAGTGCAGCACATGACAGTTCCTTCAAGTAGTCTTTGTACTTTGACGAAGTGGAATTACAGAGCAAATAATCGGTGGAGGGAGCTGGTACCGGTGTTGGTCCACCGTCGTCCAAGATTGCCTCGGGAAAGACTATTATATCCAATTCCTTGGAACAGTCGAATAGAACAGTCAAATTTAATATATCTGGACTTCACTTCAGTGTTTTGAAAACGAAATGTGTATAAATACAAATATATGAACTTCCTCTAGACACGATATCTAGGATATGGCAACCGGTTTCATACAATATGTACAGCTCGTCAAGTGTAGGAAGAGATGCGAATTTTTGAATAATGTCACGCCTTCTCGGTGCTCAGTAGACAGCGGCTCAATTCGCTGGACGAAGCAGTTGCCTCTTGTCGTGTTCAGACTAGTTAGCGTATAGTCAGAAGAAAAATTGACAGGCAGTGAAGCAACTTTATTACTTATTAACTGTGAATTGTATGTGTTGTTACGTATTCGTGGGTTGAATACATACAATTTTACGCTATTAATTGTCACCATTTATTCCTTGGTGTGCTAAGAGATTTACTGTTTATAATGGATTTTAAATCCAAATTACAACGTGTAAAGTTTTATCAGGACAAACTAGGGAGGTTGTAGCAAATGTTATATTCTTTATGCAACGAGAAGCAGAAAGAAATAAACCTCTTAAAAATTTGAAGAAAGTTTAACAGCGTGCAGCCATGTTCACGGGGGGATTTCTCGCGAAATGAAATCTGTTGAAGAAGGTGCTTCGACATCTTTTTTGACACCAAACAAAAACAGACGAAGAGCCATTCCGGAATGTGATTTCGACTTACTTTGATAGAGGATTGGTTCGTCAATCTATAATGAATTTTTACATAACGGAAAAGATGGTTTCAATTTTGCGGCGCATACACAGATAATTTGTTCAAGAACACAATTACACTGGATCATATGAACTTTAAGGAAAGTAATGAGGACAATGGGATTTCGTTGGGGGAAGTCAAGAACTAATAAAAGACTTCTTTTGGAGAAAGCAGAGATTCAGCATCTCAGGAGAAATTTTCTGAGAAGGATGAAAGAATATAGAGAAAAAATCGGTCTATAATTTATATAGACGAAACATATATCCATACATCACATACGCATGAAAAGAGTTGGAGCGATAATACCAATGAGGGCCTTCACAGTTTCAAAAGAACATACATTTATTATTCAGGATGAACTGATTTCCAACCTGCCACCAAATAGTGTTTTGGTTATAGACAACGCTCCGTACCACAATGTTCAGATAGACAAATGTCCTCACTCGACTTATTTGTGGACCAAATAATAATAAACCTAGACGAAGATTTAAGTTTAAGTAGTAGCTCAGATTCCGATTCCGAACTAACACGATTTTTTTTATACTCCAACTACCACGAAGGCCTAAGGCCTAAACACCCATTGGCTACCGTGGGGCTATAAGGGGACACAGGGGAAAGCGGGAACGCCACACGGACTCTGGCGAGGGAACACGTGTGCATGCAACATGCACACATTCTGGCTCCGCCTACGAGATTCGCCGGGTGGTACCTCCGCGTTCGACAGTCAGAAACCGTCTACCACCTACGGACAATCACAACATCCATAGCCAAGAGAAAAATTTCTCCTGGGACGGGACTCGAACCCGCACAGCGCACGGCGACTGGTCAGGAGACCGAAGAGTCTACTACTGCGGCCACCGCTGCTGCCTGATTTGATCCTCTGTGAAACTTCTCAAATCTTTAAAATATTGCCAACTGTAACGATGTTAGTTTTCTGACCTTACTTTTCATTTGATTGTTTATTAATTGAAATTATTAGAAATTAAAAATAGAATGAGTACAAATCAATTTCAGTCTTACAGCTACATAGCGTGCATTACTTATAGAAAAAATCACATTAATCAGATATTTAACCTTTCTTCGGTAGCGAACACGTGTGGAAACATAAAACTATTTCTGTAAGGCTAATGTATTATGCAATTTTGAAAATATTGAAAAAGTAGTATATAAAACTTGTTTTCTTTAGATATACATTTTCAAATGCTTCTGGTGGACGTACTACTGTATTTTCAGATATCCTGACGAAACAGATTCGTTAATTGTATATTATGTACTCTCAAACTCAATTTTATAATACACATAAACTCAACCCATTGAAAAATTTTTCTCTAAGAGTTATCGAGCCACAGGAAATACTACAGGCAATAGATAGCTTAAGATCTGGTGCTCGTAGAATTGATGATCTAACGCTGACAATGATAGAACTTAGTCTTGTAACGTTAATGAAGTTACCAAATTGAGAATATTGGGCTCACAAAAAGATATTTCAAAATTTGACAACAGTCTCAATTAAAAAAAGAAGGCTTCATTCACATAGTACGTATTCCATTCTTGAAATTATTCGATTAATTTAGGACGCAGACTGTACCATTTGAGATCGAATGGCACGTATTGTACATCAAAACCGCTAAATTATCCAGATAGTCATATACACACAAACATTGTTCAGAATCTCACATTCACATTTTAACTGCATCTCGAAATTTTTTGTGTTTTAGTTGGTAGGAAGCAAAATTACAACAGCAGCTTACGATCTGTAATGTTCAGAAATTTAATTTTTGTTGAAAATGTAGCGGAACTCTGGCATGTTAATGAACTATAAACTATTATTTTTGAGATTTCGATATCTACAGCGTTTGACCCTATACTTCAAAGAAACGAGAGAGTCAAATCGATTTAAAAGGCGAAATCAAATCATGTTCAGGTAGGTTCACTTAGGTGCGATGAATCATCGACCTCTGCATATCAAACCAAATGAAGCAAATCTATCATATTTAGTTTCCATAGCAGATGTATGGAAACTATGTGTGACTTATTATGTCCAACAGATGCATGGTATCACTGAGATCAGCAGTATCTTAATAACAGAAGGTCTTTCACCAAATATGCAACAATTTACAACCATTTACCACATACAGCTTCACGCCTACAGTTTTCATCTCCTTCAAACAATGTCTGAAAATGAATAGGAATCTCTATATCGTTATCGTTATAACACTATGCTCCAGCGATTTTATTTCCGCTGTTTCTGAATCAACTTCCAAAATCTACGACTAAGCAGAATATTCGAACTTCGTTTCACAAGTTTTCTGTTGCTTAAAGATATCTGCATCACACAAGTCCATGTTTCTCATTTATGTCGGTTTGTCAGTCCGTGTCTGATATATACCAATACGTAACAATCTACATGACGAAATATGCAGAGAACCGTCATAGACGAAGTAACACAAATCAAAGGTTAGACGAAATGAGTGGTATTAGAAATAAAAATCAGTGTGGTTTCTGTTCGAAACTATTGCAGGAACTTTATTGGTTGAAAACAGGATAACAACAACGCTAATTACATTTCATATTCAGTTTGTAAGAAATAAAATATAGCAAAATGCAAAGTCGGTAATGTTTCTCACGAAGATAACACCTAAAGCTGTAACTAGAAACCGGATGGACGACGTTAATCAAAAGGGCATCGGGATGGTGTTAGCCGTACCGTTGAAATGGTAATCGTCAGGATTCCATAACTCCTCCCTCCTCGGAAAGATTGGTCTCCAATCTCAAAAATGATTTGAACTCTTAATTTTAAGGAGAAGTTTCTTAAATATCACTACATTGAGGTGGAGTTTTAGAATCCTTTACATAACGGTATCTAACAAAAATTATAATAAAGAAAACCAATAAAATAATTACAGCAGTAAAAATAACAGGGTAACTTATAGTAGAATGAAACTGTAAATCTTCAAAATGAACTTCAAGTGAAGTGAGATTTTTTTGGAAATAAGATTCGAGTGAAATGTTTGTTTTCTTAAATGAATATTTATCGTTGTCACCTCTGAAGGATAATTCTAATTCAATTTCATAATTAGAGTCAAATTCTAATATTTGATCATTAATAAATGTATGACATTCTAAAATAATGTGAGTAGTAAAATGAATACTTTACAATCCTTGATTTTTGTTAAAACATTAGTGTCGACTACATAATTGTTCTTACTTAATTCTAGGATTCGCGTGTAGTTTACCAGACTTTCAGACTCACAAGTGTCTAACTTAAGTGGTTGACATGGCGACTGGAAAGTATTCGTGCAAACATACAGCTGATTGCTTAACTCTATGATATTTTTGCAATAATAATTATTTTCAAAGTATAAAATATAATCACTTGGTAATTTTACTAATTCTTTCTTGACTGTGATTGAAAACAACTTGAATAAGGAATAGGTTCTAACATCTAAAATGGGTAACTCAACTATAAAAATAAGTTGGTTTTCTAAAAGTATAAGTGATAAAAGGGAAAGATCATAAATCTCAAATAAATGTATTTTGTCGAATGGCAATAATTCTTCGTCTTTATAAATGGATTTTAAATGTTCAATAAGTAAGGTAATCTGTTGATGAGATAATTGTAAGGTGTTGAGACCTGTTTACTGGTTCAATTGTAGAACTAATAAAAGTGAATTTAGATATGAATTAAATCCTTGCAAATTTGTAATAATTGAGATCTGATGGATCGTCTGGTGTGATAACAAAGACTGATGTTCAATATGTTCAATAGTTTGGTCATTATGAATAATAATTGACTGAAATCTTCTAGTATTATTTTCAAAAGTTTCTTGAAGAGATTTGCAAAATTGTGTTGAGAGGGGTTGAATGAGTTCGAAAATTGACGACTTTGTGGGGAAGTATAGAATGGTTGTCTAAAAGCTGGACGAGAATTGTGGGTTGCTAAATTGTTGTCCATAAGTAATTGGGAAAGTTAGGTCTATATGACTGCATTGGTGGTCTAACAGGTTTATTTGTCTGAGGCTTAGACTTAGTGATGAGAAACTCTTTATATTGTTTAGTTTGCCAAAGGTTGTCGTGTTCTTGGCACCGTCTCTTAGCTGCATCTATATTTTTAGGGGGTGGCTGTAATGCAACGCAATGATATTTGGAATTGATTCCGCATAAAAAGGAGGTTCAAGCCATCTGTTCATATCTATCATTGCTGGGGCAATTTCAGGAGGATAAGTTAATCGAGCAAATTCTCGTAATTCATGAAGTTTGTTACAAATTTCTGCATGTAAAACGCTATAGACTGAGGAATGAATATCAAAAAGTTGACGAGTCAAATTTTCTTCAGTTTGGTAATCTAGTGGTTAAAATAGCAGAAAGATCTTCAATAGTAATAGCATTAGTTTGTTCTGTAAATTCGGCAGGTTCACCTTGTAATCTAGACTTAATAAATGTCCTTTATAGGAATTAGGTAAAGCGTTATACAATTCTGTAGACTTTCTTAAAAATGTAGAAAGATTGTTTGAATAGCCATCAAATATAGGAATTGTATCTTTTAGCATGTTAAAAATTAATTAAGGATTGTCGTGCTGAACGACATTCTGTTGATTTGAGGTAGCCATTCTCAAAGGAGATCTTTCTCTTTCGATAGGTACAAAACGATTAACAAGAGGCATAAAATAAAACGTATAAAAGATGCAAGATAAAAATGAGTAAAAAATAGGTGAAAACAAAACTTAAAGCTATGCACAAAATTAGATTTCAATTGAAAAACGCAAACTTGGATTCTTCAGT